TGTGATAGTTTGGGTAGGTATTGTATTTCTAGAAATTTGTCCATTTCCTCTAGATTTTCAAATTTGTTATAGTTTTTCATAATACTCTGTTACGCTCCTTTTTATTTCAGTTAGGTCTGTTGTAGTGCCCCCGTTTCATTTCTTGTTTGAGTTATTTGCACCCTTTCCTGTTTTTCTTCTGTCAGTTTGGCTAGTGGTTTGTCGATTTTGTGGATCCTTTCAAAGAACCAACTTTTGGTTTTGTTGATCTATTTTTTTTCTATTCTCTATTTTATTTCTGCCCTGATCTTTATTATAATTTCCTTTCTTCTGGTGGCTGTAGGCTTCTTTTGCTGTTCTCTTTCTATTTGTTCAAGTTGTGTAGTTAATGTTATGATTTTGCTCCTTCTTTTTTGATGTGTGCATCTATTGCTATAAATTGATCTCTGATCACTGCTTTGCTGTGTCCCAAAGGTTTTGGTATGCTGTGTTTTCATTCTCATTTGATTCTAGGAATTTTTTAATTCCATCTTTGATTTCTTCTATTACCCAGTGGTTTTTAAGCAAGGTGTTATTTATTTTCCAGGTAATCGATTTTTTTTCCTTGCTTTTCTTGTTAATTTCTACTTTGAGGACGTCGTGATCAGAGAGAGAAGATACTTTGTATTGTCTAAATGTTTTGGGTTTTGTTGAGGGTTGCTTTGTGGCCTAAGATGTGGTCTGTTCTGGAGAATGTTCCGTGTACATTGGAAAAGAATGTGTACTTTGCACCTGTTGGGTAGAGTGTTCTATATATGTCTATAGTTCATGTTGGCTAATTGTGGCGTTTAGATCTTCTGTATCTTTGTTGAGTTTCTTCCTAGACATTCTGTCTTTTACCAAGAGTGGTGTGTTGCAGTCTCCTACTATTATAGTGGAACTGTCAGTTTCTCTTTTTAGTGCTGTTAAAGTTTGTTTTATGTATTTTGGAGCTCTGTCATCAGGTGTGTAGATATTTATTGTGGTTATGTCTTCATGCTGGATCATCCCTTTAATCATGATATAGTGCTCTTCGTTGTCTTTTATGGTGGATTTTTTTTTAAAGTCTATTTTATTTTAGATTACTATTGCCACTCCTGCTCTTTTTGGTGGCTGTTTGCTTGATATGTTTTTTCCATCCTTTGATTTTTAATAAATTTATGTCTTTATTTCTAAGATGTGTCTCTGGTAGACAGCATATTGATAGATCCTGTTTTTTAATCCATTCTTTCACTCTCTGTCTTTTTATGGGTGCATTTAGACCATTTAGGTTCAGTGTAATTATTGATAGGTGTGAGCTTGTTGTCATTTTGTAGTGCTTTTTTTTGTGGTGCTGATGATTTTTGTTCCTCTTATTGTCCTGTGCTGAATTCTTTTTGTTTGAGGATATTTTTTCCATTTCTTTTGTTTTTGCAGATTTTGTTTTTACTGAAACTTTTTATGTTTTTCTTTATTTTGATGAGTAGGTTTGTTAACTTTCTTTGTGGTTACCTTGAAATTTACCCTTATCTTCCTAAGTTTGAACCAGTCTATTATTACTTGGTATCGCCTTGCTTTCCTCTCAATTCGAAAGTTCTATACCTACACTGTTTATTCCCTCTTTTATTGTTCTGACGTTGTTGTCATTTGCAGATTAACCTCTTTAGTTCCCTGTTGTAAATCTTAATGGTTCTGTATAGTTTTTGAGAGTTCATTTCCTAGGTTAGTATCTGACTGGTGCAATCTTGTGTCCTAGATTCAGGCTGTTGTCTGATGTTGTTTGTTCTCAGATCGAAGGACTCCTTTTAATAATTCTTGTAAGTTTGGTTTGATTTTTACATATTCCCTTAATTTCTGCTTATCTGGAAATGTCCTAATTTCACCATTACATGTGAACGAGAGTTTTGCATGATATATTATTCTTGGTTGTCAATTTTTTTCTTTCAAGGTTTTATATATGTCATCCCATTGCCTTTTTGCCTGGATGGTTTCTGCAGAGTAATCAGAGCTTAGTCTTATTGTTTCCCCTGTGTGCTTTTTTTTCTTGAGTTGCTCTCAGTTCTTTCTTTGTCTTTGGTTTTAATGAGTGTGATTATGATATGCCTTCGTGATTTTATTTTGGGGTCTGTCCTATATGGGGTTCATTGAGCTTGTATCGTCATGTTTTCATCTTTTAATGATATTAGGGAAGTTTTCTCTCAGCAATTCTTCAATGATCCTCTCTGTGTTTTCTGTTTTCTCCCTCTGTTCTGGAACTCCGATCACTTGCAGATTTTTGCTTTTAATTGTATCGCACATAATTCTCAGTTTCTTCATTTTTCTTTGTTCTTTTTTTATTTTTCCTCAATCAAAGTTGTATCCAAGTGTTTGTCTTCAATTTTGCTAATCCTGTCTTCCGTTTTTTCAAACTCGTTCCTCAGCCTTTCTGTGACACTGTCCATTTCTAAAATCTTCTTGTTTATCTTTTGGATTTCTAATTGTTGTTTTTGTACGCTTTCTAGTTGTGAATTTATTTTGGCATTTTGTTTCTGTATTATTTTCCTGAATTTTTTCCATTTTTCTGTCTGTATTTTCCATGAATTTGTCCTATTTTTTTCTCATTTTCGTCTGCTTTTTGCTTTACCTCTTGGATAGCTCTGAATATTAGAGATTTGAATTCCCTGTCAGGTAGTTCTAGTGCCTTTTCTTTTATTGAAAAGTCATCTGGTGTTTTATTTTGTTCACTTACTGTAACCATCTTGTCCTGTTTTTTTTATATGTTTTGATATTGTCTGCTGTCTTCCGGACATTCAGTAGTTATTTTCTTTGTATATTGATTGTAGATTTGTTTGTTTTATTTGGTTACGTGTGGGCAGGCAGGCTCTGCATTCTTTGTTGTTTGCTTGTCTGTGGATGTGATGTTTTTCACCTCCTTGTCCAGTGGGCAGGGCCAGTTGCTCAGCTGTGGTGCAGCAGGGCAGGTTCAGCTCAAGGGATAGAGCTGGGATGAATTGTTTGTGGCATGTACTTGGGCCAACAAGATGAGCTTGTGGTAATTGTAGGGCAGGTTCCAGTGTGTCATACCTGTGCTGCTCGGGAGTGCAGTGTTCAGCCTATGGTGCAGATAGGAGGGTGAGGTTGTGATGTGTGGAGCTAGGTTGGGTATGGAAAAGAAAACAGAGAGGAGAGAGAAATAGCAGCAAAAAAAAAAAAAAAGTGCTGAGAGAGTTTTCCTTTGGAGTGGGGAGACAAGAAACCGAGAAATGGAGAAAAATAGAAAGATAATGTTTAAAAATCTTAAAAAATTAAAAAAAAATTTTTATAAAATGCCCCCAGGGATCCTGCTGGCACGGCTGCACAGACTGGGAAAGTGGCTCCCAAGCTGCACAGTATAGCCTGGCTGTAAGGGGTGGAGATGATACATAGAGCCAGGTATTCAGGAGACAGTAAAAGAAAGTAAGTAGAAAGTTGAGAAACTGAGAAATGAACAAAAATAAAAAGGAACAAAAAGAGAAAACAAAACGAACAAACAAAAGTCCCCAGGGATCCCAGCAGCGTGGCCATGCAGACTAGGGAAACAGACTGGGAAGCAGTCCCCCTGCTGAGCAGCGCTTCACAGCCTGTCAAGAAGAAGCAGAGATGGACGTGGAGTCAGGTGTTCGAATGGAGGGGGAGGAGGTGAGAGGCAGGGAAGAAACAAAAAAAGGCTGAAAAAAGCAATATCAGCAACAAAGAAACGGCACTGAAGAAGTCAGCCAGTGTGGGCGGGGCAAATCCATGTGGCATGGAACCAACGCCTCCCGTGCCACAGTTGCGCCCCACCGGGAAGCAGTGTATCAGCCCTCTGGGAAGTCAGAATCCACCCACTGGGAAGCAGCAAATCGGGAAGCCAGGAATCCACCTGCTGGGAAGCAGCAAAGGTTGAGCAGGGGGAGGTAGGGTGGCGGTTGGGAAAGCATGTCTCGCTGGTTACCAGGTGCCCTGTCTCCTGCTGGGAATTCCATGAATCTGCTTTCCCGTATTCCTTGTCTACCATTCTCTGACAGGAGTCCAAGATGGTGGATCCATGTTGCAGTAGCTGATACAGGGGACCTCTGCTCATAACTCTCCTCACTCTCTGTTGTCCGTCAGTTGCTTATACCATGCGGTGTTTGGTTGAGTTCTTTCTCTCTTCATTTGACACTTAGGATTCCAGGATTGACGTTTGTCTCTGTTTTACTTAGTTTTCCAGGTCTTTGCTGTGGAGGGGACGACATGACGCTTCTGGCTGTAGCGCCATGTTGGCTCCGCCCTCACATTTGCTTCTTTTATTACATTTTCCAATTTTTTATTTCAGTTTACTTACTTATTTTTCCCATGTAAAACTTTTCTCCATGTTTTTAACTTTCACATAATTAGCTCTATCAATCTTTTTGTTGATGCTGGGAAAGCATTTGTCACATATATAATTTCAATATTTCTTTGATTTCTTTTTAATGCCTTTGATCTATCAGGAATTTATTTTTTTGGAGGCCTAACCACTTATTCCAACAACAGCACCATTTTGCTAAATAATCCTTTATTTCCCCTTTTATTTGCTATATTCTGTTTATGTTTATTATAAAATTAAATCTCATTTCTGTTTTGATCTATTTCTGAAGTAAGACTATTTGTAATGTTTTTTGTTATGGTAATGCTTTTGTTGGCTTTTTGCCAAATTTCTTGTGCGTTGAGTTTATTTCTTAATATTTGTATAGCTTATGATGGAACTTGTGAGTTCTCTGAAAATTGTAAAAGAATTGCTCTATTAATCACTAATTGATTCTCTCAGAACATGCATCAGTTAGAAAATGTGATAACATTTTTTTTTTTTTTTTGAAAAGTAGAATTTTTGGAAACTAGTATAGTGAAAGACTTAAACTATAATGATTTTTTTGTTCAGTTCGGGTTCTGAAAAGAATCCCTCAATGAGAACAGTGGACTTAATGTTGGAAGGTGCTTTGATAAGAGTATAAAATGGCAATTCAGCAGGAAAAGTATTAATTTTCTTTTTTGTCTGTTTTCAGAGATGTCTCTGAGCTGACAGGGTTTCCTGAAATGTTAGGGGGACGCGTGAAAACCTTACATCCCGCGGTCCATGCAGGTAAGTTGTTGGTAGCTTCCATTTAAAACTGTCAGTTGTTTTCAGGAATGTTTTAGTAGATTACTTCATGGAGCAAATGAGTTAAAAAACAGGTCATGAGTGCCACAAAAATTTATCTGTGTGGCATAATGGTTTTGTCACACTTGGCTGCCAAAGTTCATAATACATCAGAACCTGTTTAAATTCAAGTTTCCTTTATTACGTGATGGATTCAGCTTGTTTTCCTGTGCTTGCTTTTAGCTCTGACCTCTGATAACTATTTTAGAATTTATTTCCCACTGCAGTTACTCAAAAATATTTAGATTGTATAGTATTAAAAGACTTTTATAGCAATTCAGATATACAATAATGTATCACAGTGTAACTGACTTTCAAAAGAATTGTTTTAGAAAGTGCTTTAGTTTTGTCTGTTCATCTGAAACAGCAAATTGCATATAAATCAAGATATCAAGAAACAGGTATATTGCTAACTTGGCAGTTGTAGTACAGGTAGGCAGAATAAAAGATTGTAAGGCTAAGGATCATCAGATAAGCCACTGACGTACAGGAGCACGTAGGTTGTAATAGAACTGGCAACAATCGTGTGAAAATTCTTTTTACCTGTTTTTACATTTTGTTGCTGAAGAAGAGGGGTTTCAGGAAAGAAGGTTTTAAATATACTCTCTAACTTCTTGGTTTTCTGTGTGATAATTCAGCTCTATGTTTGATATTCTTAATTAGGCAGTTAGCAGCTTTGACTTGGTTGATGGAACTATATTAGAAAGAAGGACCTTTTTCTGGCTTGTTTTTTCAGCCTAATATTTTAACTTTGTTAAACTAGGAATCTTGGCTCGTAATATCCCAGAAGATAATGCTGACATGGCCAGACTTGATTTCAATCTTATAAGGTAAAAATTTGAAATTGAACTTTAGACGATTTTAAAGACCAAAGACAAAAAGTATGCTAAACCTGGTGTCCCCTTTTTGGATCCAAGATCAGCATTAATTTTAGCTTCCTGGTCGCTTACTGTAAACATTTATTGAGTACTTCTTTGTGCCACTGTATGTGCCTAAGCATTTTGGTTTTACAGAAGGTATATTACCTAAATACAGACTTAAACTAAACACAACGTAAGTGTGTTCTGGCTGCAGGCTATAAATAGATATTTTGACAGAACTCTCACTTCACTCTTCCTGCTTCCTTTACTTTAAGCATAGTTCCCATTAGTTCTTGAAATATTTTATAATGATTGCTTTGAAGTCTGTTAAATCTGACTGGACCCTCAGCATTTCTTTTGCCGACCTTTTTTCTGTTTCTTTGCGTGTCTTGCAATTTTTTGTTGAAAACTGGACATTTTGGGTAATATACTAGATACTGATTCCCCTCCCTACTCTGTGGTGCTTCTTTTTGTTGTTGTTTGCTTGTTTATTTGATTAATGAGTTGGCTAATTAGTGAAGTCTGTTTCCCCCATAGAGCCCTGATGGTGCAATGGTTAAGAGCTCGGCTGCTAACCAAAAGGTCAGCAGCTGAAACCCACCAGCCGCTCCTTAGAAACCCTGTCGGGCAGTTCTGCTCTGCCCTGTGGGGTCACTTAGTTGGAATCAGCTCGACAGCAGTGGGTTTTTTTGGTTTTTGGTTTCCCCCACAATGTGAAGCCTTTGGTGTAGCTCCTCAGAGGGCACACCCTTGGGCTTGTTCACAATCACTGTTGGTTTTTTTTTTAACAGTACTCTCTTTGACTGTCTCCTGCCCTGGTCGCTCTGTTAAGCTATGTTCCTCATCCACTGTTAAATAAAAAACCAAACCAGTTGCTGTTGAGTCAGTTCCAACTCATGGTGACCCCATGTGTGCAGAGTAGAACTGCTCATCATAGGCTTTTTAGTACTGTGACCTTTAGGAAGCAGATCGCCGGGACTTTTCTTCCGAGGTGCCTCTGGGTAGGTTCAGACTGCCAACTTTTGATTAGTAATTGAGCGCTTAACCATTTGCGCCACCCAGATTCCTATACATCTGTTGTTGTGAGCCATTGAGTTGATTCCGACTCATAGTGACCTTATACGACAGGGTAGAAGTGCCCCATAGGGTTTCCTAGGCTGTAATCTTTATGGGAGCAGATCGCCAGGTCTTTTCTCCTGTGGAGTAGCTGGTAGGTTAGAACCACCTACATTTCAGTTAGCAGCCAAGCCCTTAACCGTTGTGCTGCCATGGCTCCTTATCTGTTAGGCTTCACTAATTACCAGCTGATTGCTCTTCTGTTTTCCACAGTGTGCTGGGACATCTGCATTTGTTCCAATTAAACTCTGACAGGGGTAATTTTTAAAGCCAGTCTTTCAGGTTTGCTCTGACCCAAGGAGAGTTCTTCCCTGGTTCTCTCTGGTGAACTAGCTAGCCTATGGTAGCTCTTAGTGAAGAATAGCTACCAGCCTCTTGTTAATTGCTTACTGTCTAAATATCCATTGTTGTCAAGAGTGCTCTTAAGCTCACTCTGTTAAGTAAGTTCCTTTACAGTAAAGTTTTGGAACTCTATGTTTTTATGTACTGCTTGTTTCTTAGGGCAAAGTCTCTGAGCCACACTACTGCAGATGCTGGAGGACATGGTAGCCTCTGGTCTTAGCTTGACTCTCCTGCCTTGGAACCTCTGCCCTGTGAGTGAGCTGGGGCTATGGTGATCCTGGCCATGATTTTCTGGATCTACTGCACCTGAAGTAGAGACTCTTAGTGGTTGTTGGGTGGAGGAAGTAAGCCTCTCATCTGCAGTAACCAGGAATTTAGCCCCTTCAACTCTGAGTTATAGAGATGAGAAATGCTGGCAGCTTGCCTTTCTGATGAGATGCTGAGTTTCTTGATTGGCAGTTGGGGGAAGAGGGATCTCTATCTTTGTGGCCACCACAGTTGCCTTGAAAGGAACTTTGGTCAAGCTGATCTGCAGTGAGGGGAGGGAGCTAGTTGTGGCTCAAGTACAACAGATTCTTAATGTAGATTTTCTTCAATAAATGTTTCTTCATTTGTTGTCTGCTTAAAGATTTTTAGTCTTTAAGTTTTCTTTAGTTATGCTTATTTTACTGAGAAGCCTGCTCACAAGTCCTTACGCTGTCATCCAAGAAGTGGAACTCCATTTTATTGGTTTTTAATTTTAGATTAATTCCATAGTTTTAATTTTTCTTTTGGCCTACTTATTGCCATCATTTTGTATGACTTCTCTGAAGGCAAAAATCTTACTAAGCCCTTCGAACCCCAATTTTTTTTTTTTATTTTTTTTATTGTACTTTAGATGAAGGTTTACAGAACCAATAGTGTCTCATTAAACAGTCAGTGCATATATTGTTCTATGACATTGCTTAACAACCCCACGACATGTCAACACTCTCCCTTCTCAATCTTGAGGACCTTTTTTTTTTTTGGTGAAAATATACATAGTCAAAGTTACAGTATTTCAAGTTTCAACATGTACGATTTAGTGACATTGATTACATTCTTCTAGTTGTGCTGCTATTCTCATTATCCTTTTCCAAATTATTCTATCACCATTATCTTCAACTCACTGTCTGCTAGGCTTCCCATCAAACCTTTTGAGTTGCTGTTGTCAATTTGATCTCACATAGATAATTCTCTTTTTTTTTTTGTACCTTAGATGAAGGTTTACAGCACAAATAGTTTCTCATTAAACAGTTAGTACACATATTGCCCTAGGACAATGGTTAACAACCCCATGACACGTCAACACTGTCCTTTCTCAACCTTGGGTTCCCTATCACCAGCTTTCCTGTCCCCTCCTGCCTTTTAGTCCTTGTCCCTGGACTGCTGTGCCTCATTAGTCCCGTTTTGTTTTATGCGGCTGTCCAATCCCCGGCTGAGCGGTGAACTTCAGGAGGGGCTTCACTACTGAGCTAAAAGGGTGGCCGGGGGCCATACTCTCGAGGTTTCTCCACTCTGTCAGGCCAGTAAATCTGGTCTTTTTTTTTTTTTGTGAGTTAGAATTCTGTTCTACATCCTTTTCCAGCTCTGTCCAGGACTCTCTTGTGATCCGGGTCTGAGCAGTCGGTCGACGCCAAATATTTGATCCTTGGAATGCACTATTATTTTTCATCATTGTACACAATCCGTAGTCTGTACATTGGAAATAGAACATAGAGTTGAATGTCCTAGATAACAGTGATCACATTCCAAAGTGTAGATGTTGTCTGTAATCTTGTATTTCACATTTCTTTAAAAATTAAAAAAAAAAAATTTGATGTCTTGATAGCAAAAACCTAGTTGTCGTTGAGTCACTTCCAACGCATATGACCCTGTGTGTGTCAGAGTAGACCTGTGCTCCATAGGGTTTTCAATGGCTTATTTTTTGGAAGTAGATCACTGGGGCTTTCTTCCAAGGCGCCTCTGGGTGGATGCAAACCTCCAGTCTTGTTTACCAACGTTCTACAATAGTAGAGGGCCCAGACTTTTTAACGTATTTTTTTAGAGTGTTAAAATATCTATCCCACAGTTTGTATTCGAGATCTTTATTGGTTTTTTTGATCACGTTAATAGCTACTGACATAGTTTTTCTTGATAGCTGTACACCACATTGATTTTTTACTGATAGCTAAATTCTTCTGTTTCAGAGTTGTTGTTTGTAATCTGTATCCATTTGTGAAGACCGTGTCTTCTCCAGACATAACTGTTGAGGCAGCTGTTGAGCAAATTGATATTGGTAAGTTGTTATCTTTGTTAGGTGCCATCAAGTCATTTTTGACTCATAGCAACCCCATGTGACAGAATAGAACTGCCCTGTAGGGTTTTCTTGGCTGTAATCATTATGGAAGCAGATTGGCAGGTCTTTCTCTTGCGGAGCCGCTGGGTGTGTTGGAACCACCAAGCTTTCAGTTACCAGCCAAGTGCTTAACCATTTGCATCACCAGGGCTCCTTATTGGTAAGCTGGAAAAACCATTTTAGTAGACTGGCAGAGGAGACGACTCCTCAAGTTTTAAGTGAAACCTTATTTTGATGTTCAGTATTGACGGTCTAGAAAATAGTTACTTGTTCCATGTCATGTTCTCGGATGACTGTGATTCATTGATATTTTGTAAGCTATTTTTGTGTTTGTATGGAAATTTGTCTGTTTTTTTTAAGGTTATAGTGGACATATGTGCACAATGACTTTATTTGAAAGAGGTTAATAAGCAGATATGAAAATACAAATCATCGTTTGTTCTTCAAAGGTGGAGTAACTTTACTGAGAGCAGCAGCCAAAAACCATGCCCGTGTGACAGTAGTGTGTGATCCAGAGGACTACGCAGCAGTGTCCATGGAGATGCAGAGTTCCGATAGTAAAGACACCTCTTTGGAGGCTAGACGCCAGTTAGCCTTGAAGGTGAAAACACACTTTTATTATATTGTAAACTGACAGCCATCTAGTGCAGTGTTTGCCAAGCCAAATGGTATTCAGTTCTCGCTAGATTGTATCACCTACCAAGCCTTTGCTTGAATCTGCTCTCCTTTTGTTAAAAATGGAGGTACCAAATACTAGAGAGTATTCTCTCAAAAAAGATCGCAAGAAAATTGAAAAGGGAATAATTCATTAAGCCATTCAGTGTTACTTGGTGTCTTGTCTGTGTTGTGAGGAGTGCAGTTTGCCATGAAGCACCTAAAATTATCTTGCCTCCTCCACTTTGGGAAAGGCTGCTAGTGTTTCATAAAATGTACACTTTTTGTAGGCATTCACTCATACGGCACAATATGATGAAGCAATTTCAGATTACTTCAGGAGGCAGTATAGTAAAGGGATATCTCAGATGCCTTTGAGGTATGGAATGAACCCTCATCAAACGCCTGCCCAGTTGTACACACTGGAGCCCAAGCTTCCCATCACAGGTGAAGTCTGAGTGTTCTGTGACCAGTTTGCTGTGTCTGGTTATGTGTGTCTCTGTGTGTTATATCTGATCTGTTTTACATTTAGAAGATAAAGTAATTTACTTAATACCTTTTATAACCATCTGAAGTTTGAGATGCCAGTTGGTAACATTCCCTACATGTTTGTTGCATGACTAATTAGAAATGTGATATTTTGCACAAATTTCTACTTCTGTAAGTTAAAACATATTTACTTATTATTTTACCTCAGATATCACCTCCTCATAGTTTCTATTTCCTGTTTAGATTCTGAGGTCAAAAAAGTTCCCGTATACTTTTAGCTTCCTACTTTTCATTCTCCAAAGCATTTTCATTAATACGGTGTAAGAGTTTTATTCCTGCCCCTTATTTTAGTGTGTGTTTCCTTCTTTTGGTGTTTAAAGTACTATTTGTGGGAAAACATGGCAGAGGAAGCCCTGGGTACATAGGTAAGGATCTCCTGTAAGAGATTCGTGGGGTTTCTCAAAACAGGCTACATATGGACTTGTTTTCACAACAGAAGAGGCATTTTGCCTTTTCATACCGTTTCACTTTTTGGCAGTGGTAATAATTATAAAGTGTTTGCTTGTTTTTGTGTTTAGAAACAAAATTAAAACAAGAATAAAGATAGAGTATTTGTGTGTGTGTGTGTGATCTTAATAACTGGTTTTCTTGAGTTGGAAACGAGACGATTCCTATTTGTTTCAGCTAATATTTAGTAGATTCAACAACTTTAAACATTTCTCTGTAGCACTTTCTGTTGTCTTAAAGTTTTAGCATGTGAAGGAAGCTGGTACTCTTAAGTCTAATGTGTTCAGAAACCAGTTTTCTCCGTTTATCTCATTTAGTATGAAGTATTAAAATGTAGAGAGGGAGGTGAGGGAATCGTAAATATGGGGTCTCATTTTAGTTTTGCATGTTGCGTGTCTTGTGGGATATTTTACTTTAATTATTTACTATGTCTTGCCTATTTTATATCTTGTCTGCCTGCCTCATAAGCTCTATGAGGACAGTGATTTTTTTTTTGAATAGGGTACTGTATTATTCATTGATATAGCCCAGGCACCTAGAACAGCATTGTAGGCACTCAGTAAATCGTTTGGTAGTTTTACTTTAAAAGTAACCACTATCCATGATAACACATAAAGGAAGTGAAAATATAAATCTGTTTTTAATTAGTGGCCCACTATTTTTTGTGTGGAGCCCTGGTGGCACAGTGGTTAAGAGCTTGGCTGCTAACAAACAGGTCAGCAATTTGAATCCACCAGCTGCTCCTTGGAAACCCTCCGAGTCAGTTCTGTTCTGTCCTATAAGGTTGCTATGAATCAGAATCAACTTGACGGCAATAGGTTTAGGTTTTTTTTGGTTTATTTTTTGTGTGGTGAACTTCATGTAAATATTTCTTCACAAGAAATATTAGCTCCTCGAAAAGTCTTTCCAAATTGAGAAAATAAGTTATGAAAAACTGTGAAGTTGTAGTCTGTCTGTATTGCTGATTTATTTTTAGAGCAGGTAGGTTTGGCTCCCCCAGTGGGGTGTGCGTATGTGTTTGTGCGTGTGTGTGTTTGTTTTAAAGAAGGACTCGAGCTCATCTTGATATGTTCTTATTTTATAAGAAACGTACATGTATCTAACCTCTTTGTGCCTTTTTGATAATGTGTGTATATATTTTTATATGCAGTTCTAAATGGAGCTCCTGGATTTATAAACTTGTGTGATGCTTTGAATGCCTGGCAGCTGGTAAAGGAACTCAGAGAAGCTTTAGGCATTCCAGCTGCTGCCTCTTTCAAACATGTCAGTCCAGCGGGTAAGGCACTGTGCTCTGGAACTGTTAAAAATGAGTCTCTTTTTAAAATTTTTTAGAAAATTAATAATTGCTAACAAACAGACATGATATAAAGTCTGAAGCCGTTTTTGTCAAGTCTGTTGGTAACAGTATCAATATGGTAGTATATGATAAAATCTGATAACATAGTAACCTAAAAATACGTGTGTGTACATATGTATCTACACACACATAAGTACTAACATTGTGTGAATTTATTAGGGGATAGGAAGATCAGGCAGTAGTTTTTTGCAGTGGAAACATGAAAGTTTAGGAAATGGAAGTGAGATGGCTTTATGCAGAATGACTGAAGGCCATATATTTTCGCATGATAGGAATAAAAATGAGTAGATGTAAAGATGTTGTTCTTATGACACTTTATCCGTAACTTTTTACAGCCGTTGTATATACTTTTGGTTTCTATGTTCACGTTAACTCTGCAACTTACATCCCCAAATCTGCTAACAGTCCAACACATAATTATTTCTCAAAGGTTTATTCCATATTAAAATGGTGTGAAGGGGGAAAAAATAACAGTGTGAGATATCAAGCAGGACAAGGAGAGAGTCATTAATGAAGTAAACGAACCACGTACACACGGCTGGTGCTGTCAGGCTTCAGACAGATGCTCTGTGTTTTCAGAGCTAGAGCATAGAGATCCCCCACATTCGCCCTCCTCAGCAACTATATTTGTGGTACTCAGTTGTCTGGCTAGACAGACTTTTGTTTAATTTGGCGGAGGCACTAGAAATAATGCTGCATAGACTCGGTGTTAAGAAAATAGTGTCTTGATTTGAGAGTTGACAAATAGTAACTCAAGTTTATTTATTCATTAATTATTTTATGGTTTTCTCCACCAGGCGCTGCTGTTGGAATTCCACTCAGTGAAGATGAGGCCAAAGTCTGCATGGTCTATGATCTCTACAAGACCCTTACACCCATATCAACTGCATATGCTAGAGCAAGAGGTCAGAAGACTAATAGAGTCTTTTGGCTTTTAGAGAGAAAAATCAATATTTTATCTTAAATAAAATAGTAATGTCCTTTACTGTATTTTTACGCAAATAACACGCGCCTCCCCTTTGTTGTTTGCGAACCACGCCTCCCCTCACAAGGTATTTTTGTAAGGGTTCTGTGCTGATTTTTTTTTTTTTTTTTTACAACAACATGTAAATAACAATTGGCATAGTGGTGCTTAGGAAAATATCTTGGGGGGATGGGGCTCAGTTGGTTAACAGTCAGAAGGCACACTATTTGCATAAAAATACGGTGTTGTAAGATTTGCATGTCGTTAATTTATTTTTTATTAACTCTTGAGAATTATTAGATGAGTGCCTTGAAATAAATTTGTATCTAAACATATGTGTTAGTATCTTAATCTAATAAATGGAAACACAGTTGGAATTTAATACATATTATTTCAGATTACGCTCTTGAATATATTTGTATTTAGTATTTGACTGAAATTGTGTGTTTATTCTAACTATACTAAATTTAAAGTTATAGTTTCCATATTCTAGAAATATCTAATTCTTGAGTTTAATAATCTTTAAATATTATTGTAACATTTATGGAAGATTTTTGAAAGCGCTGATATCATAGTTTACTTTCTAGAACAGTGGTCAGCAAACTGTAACCCTTGGGCCATATCCAGCCTGCTACCTGTTTTTGTAAGTAGACTTTGATTGGAGTATGGCCACGTCTCTTTATTTATGTATTGTCAGTGGCTGCTTTTATACTACACCCACAGAGTTGAGTAGTTGCAGTAGACGCCATATGGCCTACAAAGCCTAAAAAGTATTTACTATCTGGCCCCTTTCAGAAAAAAATTGCCGACCTCTGCTCTAGAGTACTTTTTTACTGATTATTTCAGTTAAATGGCTTATTGATCTGTTACTTTAAATCTTAGGTAAGCAATAAGGTTAGATTTAGAGAAACGGATTTTATATGATCCCATTGGGATTTTTAAAACATTATCTTTTTCTGTTTGAGGATGATTTGTGATAAATACCTTATTTTAATTTTCAGGGGCCGATAGGATGTCTTCATTTGGTGATTTTATTGCGTTATCTGATGTTTGTGATGTCCCTACTGCAAAAATTATCTCCAGAGAGGTATTTTGATCCATGTATTTTGATCCATGTGTAAGTAGCGCAGTGGTTAAGCTCTTGGCTGCTACTGAAAGGTTGGTGGTTAGAACCCACCCAGTGGCTCTGCGGGAAAAGAACCTGGCGATCTGCTCCTAAAGATTACAGCCTAGAGGACCCTGTGGGGCAGTTCTGCTCTGTCACGTGGGGTCGATACGAGTCAAAAATGAGACAGCACCTAATAACAACAAATAGCTGAGTAAAGATCCATTTTTATTTATTCCTACTTTACCGTTTATTGAAACTAAAGCCTACAATATTTATGTTTGTACCGATGTCAGATTAAATTTCTCGTTTTGAATGTTCTTATGTAGAACATGAATCTTTGACCTGAATTATAATTTTGAGGTTTAGTAAATTAATGGTCTCAAATTGATATTTGGCTGTTAGGATAAATTTAAGTTTTTATTTGTATATTCTTTAAGTATTTTAAATTGTCCAGTAGTTGTTATTTTAATGCTCAAGTTAATGTTTCCTAAGAGCAGAGAATGCCAACTTGGATGGTGATGTAAGGAACCTTACTGTAAACCTTCATAGGTCTGTAATGAAAGACACTGTGTACTGGGGAAAATAATAAACTACTATGAAAAATTAAGCCTTGTCAGTTGAATACCAAACAAACAAGCATTCCAAAAAGGCAGGGATGGGGCTAGCGGGACAGATAGAAAGAAAAGGAAAACAAGGAAGGTAGCTCAGATAGCTTGGAGGGTGGAAAAATAGAGATGAAAGGGTGTGTGTGGCTTGACAATGTTTTTTGCTTTAGGTATTTTTTACATGAACATAACCATCCCAGCCACAGTGGAGCTGACATACTGAGTTAGAGGTTACAGCAAGGCTTTGACGTGACATGTAAATGTGTGATTTAATCTATTCCCTTTGTCTTGCTGTTGAGTAACTTGGCTTGCCTCAGGTCACTTAACCAGGTCCAGCAGAGCTGGTGCTAGAACACGCCCTTTCTAGTACAAAACACCACCCCATGGAGACAATAGTAAGAAACAGTTTTTCTTCCTGAGGAACATGTGTTAAAGCAATATTACAGAGTTAAAGAATATGGCTAAAGCTGAAACAAGCAAAACCTTTGAGAGGACAGCAATTGAAATATGGTCAATTGAGAACTGTAGAAAGCTGTGTTATATAGGATTATATTTTCCAAGTACAATATTTGCATTATCTAAATGGAGGTAGAATCAGAAAATGTTGCTACATTATTTAAAGACAGATAACTGCAAGTTTCTGTGCTCTTTTCTTTTAATAGAAATGAACTAATTTTTAATATATTTACAGGTATCTGATGGTATTATTGCTCCAGGATATGAAGAAGAAGCCTTGAAAATCCTTTCTAAAAAGAAAAGTGGAAACTACTGTGTTCTTCAGGTTAGTACAGTTCATGTTTGAAACCGTAATTTGCTCTTACATTTTATGTCTCTTCCCCTCACCCCCGTTTAAGTCAGTTTCTCCTTTATGCTGACACTCTCCTAATTTATCTTTTTTTCTCTCTTTATTGCAGTTTCTTAGTCCTTAATCGTGCTTGTTTAATCCTGCTGTATTACTGTTACTAATTTTGGGGTTAACAATAGCTTCCTTGTCCTTAATTTTTTTTTAAAAATGAGTAATATATTTACATGGTTTCAAATCCAAAAGGTATTAAAAGTTATATGGTGACAAGTCTCAATCCCGTTCTGCTACCCTGTCACCTTTTTTATCATAAGTGATTATCATTTTGAATTTCTTGCTTACCTTTCCTGAAAGTCTGTACATATTTAGTAAATATTTGCATTTTTTTCCCCTACATAAACGCACCTTGCACAATCTTGTAAGTTTATCCCATGTATATGATCTTATCTAGCCAGTCGTCAATCTTTAGCAATTACACACACCCCTGTAATGAATAACCTAGGAAAAAAGTCCTAGGAATGACAGGACTGAGTCACAGGGAATGTATATTGGTAATTTTATAGATACTGCTCAGAGAAGTTGTACAACAAATTTAATGAATGACCCAACAGGAATGTGTAAGGATGCCAAATTCCCAACAGCATTGCCATTACTGTATTTTTAAATATTTTCATGTTTGCAGTTGGGTAGATGAAAATGGCGTATTGTTGTAGCTTTAATTTCTCATTGCAAGTGAGGTAAACACCTTTTCACATTTAAGTATTTATGTTTCCTTTTTGAGAACTGTATGTCCATATTCTTTGCCTATTATTCTTCTAGGTTGTTGAGATTTTTCTACTGTGTATTATATAAGATACAAATATTTTTCTCAGTTTACCCTCTGTCTTTAGAGACTGCTTATGGTAGATTTAGAGGAGTCCTGGTGGTTTAGTGGTAAAGTGCTTGGCTGCTAATCGAAAAGTCGGCAGTTCAAACCTACCAGTGGCTCTGCAGGAGAAAAGACCTGGTGATCTGCTCCTGTAAAAATTACAGCCTAGGAAACCCTATGGGGCAGTTGTCCTTTGTCACATGGGGTTGTTATGAGTCAGAATCAACCTGATGGCACACAACCACAACATGTGGATCTACATTTGTAACTAATTTATCAATCTTTCATTACTTCTAGGTTTTGTGTCCTTGTTAGGAAGCCTTTTCCATCCTACATTTAAAAACATTCTCTCATCATTTTTTCTGGTACTTAACTAGTTCTGTAAGTTTCATTTTTGACATTTAAATTTTCATTTGGAACCTATGGTGTGGTAAGGTATATGCTATGAATCCAATTTTTTTTCTAATTATCTCGGTTGTCTGATTTTTATTATTCAGTAAAAAGCTCTCTCTTCCTTACTGGTTTAAAATGCCAGCTTTATCTTCTATTAAATTCTTGCATAGATGTGGGTCTACACTGGATGTTGTATTCTGTATATTTTGTTATTGACGTGCCAGTACCATAATGTTTTAATTATAGTTTTAATATCTGATAGGAATTGCGTATTTTTTAGAATTTACCTGGCTGTTCTTGGTGAATTATTGACAGATTGTTGTTTATTTTTGGATGAACTTATAATACTCTCCTTCTAAAATGAATATATAAAGCAAAAGGGGGGGGAAAAGCACCACTTAAGCATAACAAAACATTTCAAAGAAAACTTGGCATTTTTATTGTGATCATGGAGAATTTACATCAGTATGATGTTCCCTTAACTTTGGGTCTTGTATATAACCTTGTTTATAATAAAATGTTTTGTGCATAAATGAAAAAGTTGAGAGATGTGAATATATTGCTTTTAACTTTTTAAATTTGTATCTTAGATGGACCAGTCTTACAAACCAGATGAAAATGAAGTTCGAACTCTCTTTGGTCTTCATTTAAGCCAGAAGAGGAATAATGGTGTCATTGACAGGTCTTTATTTAGCAATGTTGTTACCAAGAATAAAGATGTAAGTTTGAATATATCTGCTATGAATATTAATAACTTCAGTAGGTCTGTTTATAATATTATAAACTTATACATTTACCAAAAACCAAAACCAAACCCATTGCAGTTGAGTCGGTACCGACTCATAGCAACCTTACAGGACAGAGTAGAACTGCCCCATAGGGTTTCCAGGAAGCAGCTGGTGGATTTGAGCTGCCAACCTTTTGGTTAGCAGCCGAGCTCTTAACCACTGGGCCACCAGGGCTCCTATACATTTATTAGGGCCTATATTTAGAACTGGTTGGCATGAAAACGGGCTAGTTCATCTCTGAGTTGTCAGGTAGGCCAGACAGCTAAAAAAAAAAAAAGTGAGTAAAAGACCGTATTACAAGCTTTTGCATGTGCACCGATGTATCACATCTTCAGTTGTACAGAAATGGGATCATGTCCTCTATAATTCTGTTATGAAGCTTGCCTTTTTTGTCATGCATTAAGCTACAAACATTTCTATATCAATATAGAGTCACCTGTTTGAAAGGCCACATGGTAGTCTGTGTATATATGTTTTATAATGGGTATCTGTGTTGTTCCCATTTTTTGTGCTGTGATCAAAGTTTTCTGTAGATGTTTTTGCACTTGCACTGTTTGTTACCTTTTAGGAAGGACATATTCCTAGGATAATATTGGTGACATTTATTGGTTTTACATGTATTATCTCATTTAATCCTCAGAGCAACCTCTAAGGGTTAACTACTATTATCTCTACTGTAAAAATCAGAAAATCGTGACATAGGAGACAGTTAAGAAATTTGCCCAAGAGGGTTACACAGCATGGAAATGGATGAGCTGGGATTTGTTTTTTAAAATGTATTTATGAGGCCCTCAGTTTTGAAGGGTATTTTTGCTGAGTCTAAAATTGCCTGTAATTTTTCTCAGTATTTTGAAGGTATCACTCCATTGTCTACTGGCCTTGTGTGCTAGTGTGCTTGGTGATTTTTGACTGAATGCTGGGCAGTGTGCATGACAGGCTATAGAGGGCCTTGATGTTGTCAGTTTTTTCTCCAGAGAGAGATAACTTAACACTTCTGAGGCAGATAGTGTGGAGGCAGATCATCTTCATCCTGTCAGGAATTAAGCTCGTTTGAAGTTGGCCTTCAGTGTTTGTGAGGGTGGTTTATTGTTCAACCCTATTTCTTCTGAAAGCCCTACTAGTTATCACTCTTCACTGGTGACTCTAAACTCCATTTTTGTCACTTTATCCTGTAAGAAGACTGCCAGAGTTGTACTCACCCTCTTTACCTCTTAGTTTCTTGCGTACAGTTTCTAAAATACCTTGAGGGGAAAAGCATACATTTTCAGGCTCACTTTCTTTTGTCTTTATGTCTGAAATCTTTGCCCAAGTTGTTTGCTCTTATTAGCTCTGTGTCCAGCTTTTCTGTTTGTTCCTGCCAAAGTGGCTGGTCTCTTAACAAGCCATTTCACTAACAGAAAGTGAGAAGCTGCAGTTTGTTCCCAGGTCTGTCTCCTGAGGGTATGAAGTGGAATTGCTAAAAATAGGCTTTAAAATCTTTATCAGGATAGTTTACTGTTGATAAGCAAATGGTGATTAACACATGCTTTATTTACTTACTTTTGTTTGATCACTTGATGAATATTCTTCCATTTTATATCTTTGAAAATAAAGGATGACCCTGGAGTAAAGAAACCCATTGCCATCTAGTCCATTCTGGCTCAACAGCGACCCTATAGGACAGGGTAGAACTGCCCCCGTGAAGTTTTCAAGGCTGTAATCTTTATAGGAAGCAGACTGCCACAGCTTTCTCCCGTGGAACTGCTGGTGGGTTAGAATTGCTGATCCTCCGTTTAGCAGCTGTGTGCTTACCGGCTGCACCATCAGGGTTCCTTGAAGAAAAGCAACATGTGTATATTATAAGTAGAAATAATCTGTCAGCCGTTTTGAATCCACGCCTTTGGTCAAGGCTGTGAAGTACTGGGATTTCCACATGGGAACAGTTTTGCAACAGTGTTACTTCAAGCGACTCCCAGTAAAAGGAGGCTCTTCCGTTACTTTATTAACCTAGCTGGTTAATGTATTCTAAAAGATACTGAATGAGAGTTGAGAGTTGACCTAGATTCCATAGTACACAGGTTGACAGTTCTGCCTAACTTGAGAACCTTTTTATTTTTGTTTTCTTAAATATTAGACTAATTAGTAGTTTTGTAACGTTTGATAGGTTTTGTGCCTCTGGCTTTGCTAGCTTAGATATTCTTTAGAAGGAAAGAGGGCACAGTCTTAATTATTTTTTTATTTGAATTCTTCTCTACCTGGTTCATATGTATTCTTAGTAGGAATTTGGGAATTTAAGGATGAGAATGATTGTTTTATCATCCTTTATAGTCACATTCGCCCCCCACCCCCCCACCCGGTTTAAGGCAGATTTTTGTTATAACATTCCAGCTAGAAATCATCAAATATCTGATTAGGTCTAGAACAGTTTGAGTCCTGAGAGGGTGGGAGGGGTGAAAGGAGTGTGTGTCATGCTGAACGTGATTAATTATTTGTTATTCCCTCATTTTTCTTGAATAATCCTTTGTTTTAGTTATTTGTATCATGGTTATAAGACTGGAGTTACCCCAACCCCTGTTGTTTTTCATATCCTTGATCCTAACTCAGGATACCAAGGTTATATTTAAAACAGGTGGACATCTAGTTGACTAAACCAAACCAAACCCATTGCCATTGAGTCAATTCCGACTCATAGCGACCCCATAGGATGGAGTAGAGCTGCCCCATGGGGTTTCCAAGGAGCAGCTGGTGAATTCAAACTGTCGACCTTTTGGTTGGCAGCTGAGCTCTTAATCACTGCGTCACCAGGGCTCCCTAGTAGACTAGCTTTTGTTATTAATCTTTCTTGGAACCAAAGGAATAAACTTTATAGTTGGTGATTCAAACAGCAGATATAGATAGGAAAGAATATACTACATTAATATCATCTTAGAATAAGAAATTCTAACAGTTTTTTTTTTTTAATTAAACTAATTATTTTGATAATTACAGAATCAGTTGCAGTTACGAAATCCCTGCACCCTTTACCCCATTTCTCTTAATGGCAACATTTTGCAAAATTATAGTACAATGTCACACAAGGATATGAACATTGATAACCGTCAAGATAGAGAACATTTCCATCTCCACAAGGATCCATCCCTCTTACTGCCTTTTTATAGCTACTTCCCTCCTGCCCCCATCTGCTCCTTAACCCTTAACCAATAATCTGTTCTCCATTTCTATAATTTTCTCATTTTAGGGATGTTATATAAATGGAGTCATACAGTATGTAATCTTTTACTCAGCATAGTTCTCTGGTGGTTCATCCAGGTTGTTGCATTTATCAATAATTCATTCCTTTTTTGTTGACGAGCAGTATTGCATAGCATGAATGTGCCACAGTTTAACCATCTGCCTATTGAAGGATATTTGGGTTGTTTTTGGCTGTTATGAGTAAGCTACTAAGAACATTGGTGTACAGGTTTTCGTGTGAATGTAAGTTTTCATTTCTCTGGAGTAAATGCCTAGGCATGCAGTTGTTGGGTAGTATGGTGTTTGCATGTTTCGTTTTGTAATAAACTGTCAAGCTGTTTTCCAAAGTGGCTATGCCATTTTATATTTCCACCAGCAACGTATGAGTGATCTAGTTTCTCTGCATCCTTACTAGCTTTTGTTGGTGTCACTGTTTTAATTTTTTTTATTTTAGGCATTCTGAAAAGTATTTAGCAACATCTCATTGTTATATCCCCAGTGGCTAATGATGTTGAACATTTTTCACAGGCTTGTTTGCCATCTGTATGTCCCTTTCAGTGAAATGCCTCTTCAAGTCTTTTGCCCATTTTCTAACTGGATGTTTGTTTTTCTGTTGTTGAGTTTGGATATTTCTTTATTATAGCCTAGTCCTTTGTCAGATACATGGTTTACAAACACTTTCTCCTAGTCTCTGGCTTATCTTTTCATCCTTTTAGCACGAGTCTTTCCCAGAATTAAAGTTTTTCAATTAGCTGTTGTCACTTGGTATACCGACATGGGTCATTGCATTTCTTTTCAGTAAGCATTAGCTCTTTATATTAAGAATAGTGGTATTTTCGGCTGTAATACATGTTGCTTTTATTTTATTAGGGCTGGTAGTTAACAGTGTTTTGTTTTTGTTTTTTTAATAGTTTCTACTTGTTGTTAGGTGTTGTCAAATCGATCCTGACTTATAGTGACCCCTTTGTACAGTAGAACAAAACACTGCCTGACCCTTCACCATCCTCACAATGGTTGCTATGCTTGAGCCCATTGTTGCAGCCACTGTGTCAATCCACACAGTTTCTACTTAGAATATTTAGAAGCATACAATGATCCTAATTTGAACAGCCTCGGCTAATTTCCCAAAGATATTTTCTAGTGCATAAATAAGAAAATCAGGGATGTGTGTGCATTGCAATTGTTTCTAATATCTATGAAAATTATTTTCAGTGTTTTTCCTGAACATAGATTTTGTCATGTCTTCAGATATTTATAGGTACTATGGTAGAGAAAATATTGATCAGTCTTAGAGCAGATATAGTATTTCATATGTTTCGTGTTACGTAAATGGGCATTTGTAGCTTAATCCAGAGTTGCTGCAGAACAGAATCGGTTTGCGTCTACCGTGCATTAGGCATTGTACTACGTTCCACTGCATGTTAATGTTTGACCCTTTTAATAAAACATGGTGCTTTGTAGCATGGACAGTTATTTTCATTCTGTCAGTTGAGAGATGTTGAGTACATAACAGATCTCTTAACATTAAATGATAAAAAAGGTACTTAAAGTTAGATGACATTTTAAAAGCCTGATGTAGTTTACCATTCTGTGTTTGTTTCAGTTGCCAGAGTCTGCTGTCAGAGACCTCATCATCGCCACCATTGCTGTCAAGTACACTCAGTCTAATTCTGTGTGCTATGCCAAGAACGGTCAGGTAACCAAGCTGTCAGACTCACCTCAAGGGGACTGTTGTTCTACAAAATGATAATTCAGAAATCCATCTGCCTCTGGTACTGGACAGCTTGAAAGGAAAAGTTTGCCAAGTGTTTCTCATTTGGGTTTGCCAGCATTTACTCAGCAACTTGGCAAACTATTAAAACTAATGATGATTGCAAAGTAGCTTTGGAACTAGGTGCTAAAATTAGTCATATTGCCTCCTGCCGAGAATGAGTTGGCACATTTTGGACTAGGAGGGCTCTAATAGCTATTACAAAAGTGGTTTTCTTCCCACTGGTAGTTCATCTCCAGAGAAGGAGTAAGGAATGGTACTGCCAGCCACCAGCTTGCAAGATAGTCTCGCCTGTATTTTTGTAGCTTGCAGAGTATTCTCACCTATATTTCTCATGTTAGTTTATCAAGAATCCGTTGAGTGCCCAAGAAACAAAAGGGCCACATAAACAAGAGACTGCATCAGCCTGAGACTAGAGGAATTAGATGGTGCTTGGCTGCCACCATTGACCGCCCTGACAGGGGACACAACAGAGAGTCCCTGTTGGGAGCAGGAGAAAACTGTGGTGCAGAACTCAATTTCACGTAAAAAGACCAGACTTAATGGTCTGACCGAGACTAGAGGAACCCCTGAAGACATGGCCCCCGGACAAACTGTTCCTGATGTGAACTCTTCAAACAAAGATTAGACTGGACTATAAAACATAAAATAATACTTATGAAGAGTGTGCTTCTTAGTTCAGATAGATATACAAGACTAAATGGACAGCTTCTGTCCAGAGGTGGGATAAGAAGGCAGAAGGGGATAGGAGCTGGTTGAACGGACATGGGAAACCCAGGGGGGAAAGGAAGAGTGTCCTCTCACATTATAGGGATTGCAACTAGGGTCACATAACAATATGTGTATAAATTTTTGTATGAGAAATTAACTTGAGCTGTAAACTTTCACCTAAAGCAATCAAAAAAAAAAAAAAATCCATTGAGTGGAGCAACTGCTAGACTAGAAGTTAACATGATCCTTTAAAGTCAGATTTATTGAAATATAATTTGATAGAGTAAAATTCACCCTTTTTAAGCGTACCGTTTGAAGACATTTGACAAGTTATATAGTCATGTGACCACTACTGCCATCGAGATACTGAATATTCTTTCTACGTGACGTTAAGCAAGATACCTTAACTTCTTTCCTAGCGTACTGAGCTATAGAGTGCAGGACTGAGCTAGTTCATCACTAAAGTCTCTCCAAACTGTAGGATTCAGCCAACCTGGTCCTCCTGTAGCTTCAGGCTCCTTTCTTCCTATGGTGTCTGCAGCTTTCTGTTTACTACTGCTTGAGCTCTTCCCTTTCACTTGTTAAATAATCCGGCCTACCAGCAGCGGGGAGGGGATACTGATTAGTGTGTGACCTGGAAGACCCTTCCAAATTTAGTGAGAGCCAGCTGATAAAAGATTGCCAGACTCTGGAGTAACAAAATCCTGGGAGCTTATGGCCAGTGGGCTCTCTGGGCTCAGGTTCCAACAGGGTCTGGTAGGTTCTGGGAAGGCCGTGCAGAACAAATGCTTCACTGCTCACATCCAGGAGGAGCACGCTGCACGTGTGTTTACTCATTACAGAAACTGAAACCAGAAAACTGTTGTCATCTAGGGCTTTGTTCTTAGAATCCAACCCATTGAGACAGAGGAAGGAGGAAAGATGTTTCATGTCCGGTAGCATTTTTTACTTTTTAGGATAGATAACCTGGTCAGATCCTTACATCAATTTCTGTGAGTATTTAATTCTAAGTTATTGACTGGGCCCTTTCAAATACCTTTTGTGGTCTTTTTCATTATTATTATTATTATTATTATTATGGGTTCCACAACTATCAGTAATGGGCTCTAAGACCATCAGGAAGATAATTTTATTGCATTCTAGAAATTTCCAGAACATTAATAGGAATACTTCAAATATCACTGAAGAGTGATAAACAGTATAAACAGTAGTCATAAACCATTTACTCTGATCTTTTAATGACTTAAAAATTACTTGTATTTTTCTTATTTTGGGTTGATATTTTCTTCCACAAAATTAATAACCTTTTGGAGAATATGTGCAAAAGATCTATTGAGAAAAGTGTGTTGTTAGAAGAGGTATTCATTCCAGTGTCTTATGCTCTTCAGGTTATTGGCATCGGAGCAGGACAGCAGTCTCGGATACACTGTACACGCCTTGCAGGGGATAAAGCAAACTGTTGGTGGCTTAGACATCACCCACGCGTACTTTCAATGAAGTTTAAAACAGGAGTGAAGAGAGCAGAAATCTCGAATGCCATCGATCAATACGTTACTGGAACCATTGGCGAGGTATAAGACTTGTCATTGGGATAGGCAGAATATATTAATATATTCACCCTTTTATCTGTGACAGGCTTCACTTCACTGCGAAGGAAAGGGTATTTTTTTTAAAAAATTCTATATTGTCTGAGATTGTTAAATCTAATCTCCTTACCAATCCTCCGCTTGTCTTCAGTCTCATTTACCTTTCCTCAAATTCTTTATTCCTTTCTGAAACAAAAAACCTTCTCTGTCTTTTTCAATTACAGCCATTGGTTTACTTTTGTTGTTTGTACTTCCTTTATTCGTTATATGTTTTTGATGGCAGGGACTGTTTTTTCACCCATCTCGAGGCATGTATCACAGTGCCAAGCATGATGCTTGCCACATGATAGGTGTGCCTTAAACATTAACTACAGATTACCTGAGAGCAGGTAACCATGGTGTGTTTCTTCTCCCACGTTTTTCTACAAGTACAATTAACAACTGAACATATTTCTGTCACATTCCATGTTCTTACTTGTTTTCCATTTAAAAAAAGTTATGTGGGAGTATTAAAATTGCCAATATCTGGTAGCCTGCCCAAAGAAAATGATATAGCTCAGTGGCTGAACATAGCAAGTGCTTAACAGTACTGGACAGAAAATGAAAGTCCAAGTCCTGGTGATGAAAATATAGAGGACTGGACTAAGTTGTTCATTCAGGAGTGGGAATCTTACATAACTGCCATTGAAGAGTGAGGCTGCAGAGTGCCTTGTGGCTGTACAGTACTTAAAACGTCTTTTCTTTTTCGCTTTGAGGTCTTGAGTTTTTCTGTTGTTATTGCCCAGGATAACCCTGTTAATAGTCCTGGAAGAGTCCTTCTATGGGAACAGAAGTAAAAGTATGTTTTCACAGCCAGGAAGTTACCCAGCATGGAAACGCCTTTTAAAAATAGGAGCACTGTGAATCGTGTTTCACTTTATCTACAAGGCAAACTGCATTCTTGAGACTAATTGTTATATAAATGTGGTTTCCCTAGAAAGCTGATCTTTTGTTTGCTAGATTTGGATATGGAAGATTGCTTTGAAAACCCTTTGGAGAGCAATTTTCCATTCACTTGCTTTGATACCAGGATATAATGTAGTATGTTTAACTTAGGCAGGGATTAAAGAACAAAATATATTTGCAGTAAACTGATGTAGAAAGTAAAATGGTATGGTCTTTATTTGATAAACTTCCACTCACTTTTCTTCCTTAATGAAAATGTTAAAAGCATCAAAGAAAGAGATTCCAGAAATAGGAACTTGGATGTAAAAGAGAAGTCATTATTTATAATTAATAAGTCCTAGGAAAAATGCCCAAGTGCTTTCTGGCATCCGGCTTTACATCAGCTACTACTACAGATGGTGTCAGACTAACCTGTGTCTTCCACTCACAGGATGAAGATTTGGTAAAATGGAAGGAACTGTTTGAGGAAGTCCCTGAACTGTTAACCGAGGCAGAGAAGAAAGAATGGATAGGCAAACTTAGTGAGGTTTCTGTCAGTTCTGATGCCTTCTTTCCTTTCAGGGATAATGTGGACAGAGCTAAAAGGGTAAGTTTGGAATTGATGTGCAGTTTGCATAGAACTGATCTTTATGTAGAAACTATTTCAGAAGTCATGCTTCTGATTTTTAGGTTTCTGTGACTTATATCCAAGCTGTCGCAACGTGATGTAGATCAGTTAGAGAATCATTTTGACTTCTCCATTTGATGTATGGATTACCCAGCTCCTGTTATTTTGCTTTTTTGGCCACATAAATAAGGCTGCATCATGAATCATTGTTAGCATATGCTTTTGAGAGAGAATTGTTGATTTTTGCATGTTGGTATATTATACTGTATTTTGAAAATCCACATCATTTCTCCCCCAGAGTGGTGTGGCGTATATTGCTGCTCCTTCCGGTTCTGCTGCTGACCAAGTTGTGATTGAGGCGTGTGATGAACTGGGGATAATCCTCGCTCATACCAGTCTTCGGCTCTTTCATCACTGATTCATCTCACGTTATCATTTTATGGTTTGCTGATGTTAGGTGAACAATCTTCAGAAAATTTCACTTAAAAAAGAAATAAAACATTAAATCTTAATACTCTCGGATCCATAGTTTTTGGTAGTTGTATTTAATGTGTCCTAAAGAAACAGACTCTTTAAACTGACAAGCATCACACACAACTGTGCATGTTTGTGTATGATGAGCTTAGCTCATCCCAAATCGTTGCCTATGTGAAACATCTTCAGATCAGCAAGTTAACCAAGAAACTTGGAGAGCCAGAGTGGATGGCACAAGTATCTTGAAGCTCTCTAGTTTCCTCTCAGGAAGTTTCTTTTCATCACAGTTCTAAGAAGCGTGGTTGTCAACTTCCTAAACCAAACCAACAGCAGATTTATAACCTGTGAACTAGAACTTTGTGGGGATCGGTAAGTCTACTCTTGGCCCCTTATATGGATAAGGCTAGTATATATTTCTCCCTCTGTGCTGAGTGAAATGTTTTGAAGTCAGATAGTATGAGTCCTTCAACTTTGTTCCTTTGATTGTTTTGGCTGTTCTAGGTCCTTGGCATTTTCATATAAATTTTAGAATCAGCTAGTCCATTTCTTAAAAAAAAAGCTTGTTGGGATTTTGATTTAATATCTGTAGATCAATTTGTGGAGAATTGACATCTCCCCTTCTTTCTCTTGGCGAGTTGAGTGCCCTCTGGTTTCCATTAGATTTTGGTTGCTCTCTAGTGCCTTCTAGTAGATTTTTTAAATATTTTTGTCCAGGGCTCATAGTTATATTGAGGTTGGTTAGTCTAACATAGTCTACTCTGACATTACCAGAACTGGAAATTCCTGAAAACCTATAACCCCATTCTGTTATCGTTAGGGTGCCATTGAGTCAGTTTCAACCCCTGGGAACCCCATGTACAACAGACCGAAACACTGCCCGGTCCTGTGCCATCCTCACAATTGTTGCTGTAATTGAACCCATGGTTGCAGCCACTGTGTCAGTCCATCTCATTGAGGGCTTTCCTCTTTTTCGCTGACCCTTTACCAAGCATGATGTCCTTCTCCACGAACTGGTTCCTCGTGATATAACATGTCCAAAGTACGTGAGACGAAATCTCACCATTCTCCTTTCTAAGGAGCATTCTGACTGTACTTCTTCCAAGGCAGAGTTGTTCGTTCTTGCAGTCCATGGTAAAGTCAGTATTCTTCACCAACACAGTAATTCAAAGGCATCAGTTCTTCAGTCTTCCTTTTTCATTGTCCAGCTTTCGCATGCATATGAGGCGACTGAAAATACTATGGCTTGGGTCAGGCGTGCGTTAGTCTTCAAGATGACATCTTTGCTTTTTAACACTTTAAGAAGGTCTCCTGCAGCAGATTTGCCCAGTGCAGTGTGTCATACGATTTCTCGACTGCTACTTCCATCGGTGTCGATTGTAGATCCAAGTAAAATGAAGTCCTTGGCAACCTCAATCTTCTCCTTTTATCATGGTATTACTTACTGGTCCAGTTGTGCGGATTTTTGTTCTGTATGTTGAGGTGTAATCCATACTGAAGACTGTAGTTTTTGATCTTCATCAGTAAGCTTCAAGTCCCCTTCACTTTCAGCAAGCTAAGTTGTGTCATCTGCATATTACAGGTTGTTAATGAGCCTTCCACCAATCCTGATGCTACATTCTTTATATAGTCCAGTTTTTCAGATTACTTGCTCAGCATACAGGTTGACTAAGTATGGTGGAAGGATACCACCCTGGCGCACACCTTTCCTGACTTGAAACCACAAAAAACAAACCTGCTGCCGTCTAGCCAATTCCGACTCATACCACGAAGTATCCCCTTACTCTGTTCCAACGACTGCCTCTTAGTCTTTGTAAAGGTTCTGCAGGAGCACAATTAAGTGTTCTGGAATTCTCATTTTTCTCAATGCTATCTGTAATTTGTTATGATCCACACAGTTGAATGCTTTTGCATAGTCAGTAAAACACAGTTAAACATCTTTCTGGTATTCTCTGCTTTCAGCCAGAATCCATCAGACATCGGCAGTGACATCCCTCATTCCACATCCTCTTCTGAATCTGCGTTGAATTTCTGGCAGTTCCCTGTTGATGTACCACTATAACTGCTTTTGAATGATATTCAGCAAAATTTTACTTGCATGTGATACTAATGATATTGTTTGATGATTTCTGCGTTCTGTTGGATCACCTTTCGTTGGAATGGGCACACATATGGATCTTTTCGACTTGGTTGGCCAGGAAGCTGTGTTTCAAATTTCTTGGCATAATCAAGTGAGTGCTTCCAGCGCTGCATGTGTTTGTTAAAATATCTCAATTGGTATTCCGTCTATTCCTGGAGACTTGTTTTTCACCAGTGCTTTCAGTGCACTTGGACTTACTCCTTCAGTACCATCGGTTCTTGATCATATGCTACCTTCTGAAATGGTAGAGTGTCGACTAGTTCATTGGATACAGTATTCCTTCCATCTTCTTTTGATGCTTCCTGCATTGTTCAGTATTTTGCCCATAGAGTCTTCAGTATTGCAACTTGAGGCTTGAATTTTTTCTTCAGTTCTTTCAGCTTGAGAAGTGCCAAACATGTTCTTCTCTCTTGGTTTTCTAGTTCCAGGTCTTTGCACATTTTACTATAATACTTTGTCTTCTCAAGCGCCCCTTTGAAATCTTCTCTTCAGCTCTGTTGCTTCATTTCTTCCATTTGCTTTAGCTACTCTACATTCAAAAGCAAGTTTCAGAGTCTCTTCTGAGTTGTCCATTTTGGTCTTTTCTTTCTTTCCTGTCTTTTTAATGATCTCTTGCTTTGTTCATGTATGGTGTCCTTGATGTCATCCCATTCTAGTTATGAGAAAAACATTAAATGAATCTCAATTGAGGGACATTATACAAAATATCTGACCAGTACTTCTCAAAACTGTGAAGGTCATCAAAAACAAGGAAAGTGAGAAACTCTGGCATCCAAGAGGAGCCCAAGGAGACATGACAACTAAATGTTACATGGGATCCTGGAAGAGAAAAAGAACATTAGGCAAAAACTAAGGACATCTGAATAAAATGTGGAGTTAAAGTATCAATATTGATGCATTACTTATGACAAATATACTACTGTAAGATAATAGAGGAAACTGGCTGTGGGGATATGGGAACTATTCATAATTTTTCTGTTAATGTTAAACTCATAAAAGGCTGTAGCCACAATTTTATTAACACTGAAAAGGTAAACAGTAATTTCTTAATATCAAATATTCCAGTCAGTTCACCATTCAGTTAACCCTTACTGGCTTTTTTTCCCCCCTAGTTTGTTCAAAATAAGATCCAAGCCTGGTGCACAGAGTGTATTTGATATGTCTCAAGTCTCTTGCAGTGAATTGCTTCTTCCTTTTTTATTTTTTGTCTTAACAACTGATTTATTGAAGAAACCAGTTTCCCACATTCTGGGTTTTGGTACTGCATTCCTGTGACGTCATTTAGTTTGCGTCTCTGCTTTATTTCTTGTAAACTGATAGCTGTAGTTAGATGATTTCTTTCGCTGTCTTTATTATTTTTTTTTTTTTTTAGTTTGGTCTATCAATAATTGACGAAGATATATTGAAACCTCCCGTTGTGAGGATGAGTCTGTCAGTTTCTCCCTGCAGTTTAATAAATATTTGCTTCATCTATACTTGAAGCTATTTTAAGGTGCATAAATGTTTAAAATTACTTTTTGAACCTTTTATCATTATGTAGTAACTCTTCAATCCTGCTAACAATGTTTGTAAGTTTTATCTAATCTTAACATTGCTAGGCCAGCTCTCTTTCGGTTTATATTTGCCTAATATGTCTTTCCCTTGTTTTTACTTTACTTTGTGTGTCCTTGTGCTTTAGGTGTAGTATCTATATGGATTCTTTTTTTTTTTTTTTTAGTGTTGTCAGTCTTTATCTTTGCATTCAGCTTATTTATAGTCACTTTAGTTATTGATAGATTTGAATCCTATTTCTACAGTCCTATAAAGTTTGCCCTTTTATTCCTTTCTTTTTTTGAACTGATATGTCCCCTCCATAAGGTAAAAACCTCCACCCACTTTCACCTCCTCCTCCCTCCATCCCCTAGCTCCTGTCATGTTGATAACCTAGACTTTCGATTCTGGGTTATGAAGACAAATTTTCTCCTAGCTTTTTTTTTTAAAGACCAAACTTCCGAGAGTTTCTGGTTATCTTTACATTATCTCCCAGAACATCTGGATTTATCTCCTCTCTTATATTAACTGTGTGATGTGGTTCTTTTGGCAAAGCTTCTGTTGTCTTGTATTCTTAGGATATTTTTTTATCATGCCTGTATAGTTGAATTCTTTTTGACTAGATGTAAAATTTTGTCTCTAATTTCTTCAGTACTTTGAAAGCATTACTGTTTTCTTGTATCTATTGTGTTTAAAAATCTGATATTCTGATTCCTGTTCCTTGGTGGGAAACTTAATGGCATTTTATCTTTGATGTTGATATTCTAAAGCTTCTCTCTCCTATGTCTAGTTGTGGGTTTTTCCTCTTCTCAGTAATACTCTGTGGGCCCGTTTGACCTGGAGTCCTTCATCTCCCCCCCCGCCCCAGCCTTTCATTCTAGGAAACTTTTCTGTTATTACTCTAATAGTTCCTCTTTTCCGTTTCTGTTTTTGAGATTTCTTTTATCCAGATGTTAGCTTTCTAATCCTATTTCCATATCTCTTTAACTCTTTTATATTTTCTATTTCTTTTTCCTTTCCTTTGTCCCTCTGGCAGATTTCTTTAGTCTGGTCTTCCAATTCACTAGTTAATTTCTATGTTATATCCATTCTGCTGTGTGTCCCATCTATTGAGTTGTTTCAACAGTATTATTTTTCACATCTAATAGTTTAGTTTTTTTTTCATATTGTTGATGTCTTCTTTCTAGCTCTGTCAGTTTTACTGTTTCTCTGTGTGTTGGAATCTGTGATCCAGTATGTTGTTTTTCTTTTGAAATCATTGTTCTCAAATGTCTTGGTATGTTGGCTTGTGAGTTCATTTTTCCCCACTGGTGTTGGCTACTCTGTCAGGCAGTGCTTGTGACAGAAAAACACATGCAATCCTTGTCAGCCCAAGGAGTTCAGAGGGGAGGTTTGAATAAAGAGCACACCAAGCAACAAACAAAAATCTGTCATTGGTCACAAAACCACTCAGTTTAGGGCTTCCAGCAATTACTTTCTCATTTTACCCTCTCACTGCCCCTTCCAAGCAGTGCTCTACCTTAGTCCGAAGCCACCACCCCTCATACCCATTCAAAGGATGAGTGCCACCTCATCCCTGGGGTTCCTCACAATTTGCTCTGAGTCTTACTGCTTCCCTTTGCCTGCAGTCCGGTTAATATTGGTCAAGGGAGCCAGTAGGCAAGGAAGTTCAGCACTTAGGCAACGTCTGGAACTGGAACACCATTAACACAGTCTCTGATACAATGAAGACATTCAAAACCTCAAGACTGGACTTTCACGACATTCAAATGAATTACACAGTGCTCTTATACCTGACATTTCAGTGATAGAGAATGGGCAGAAGACCCATAACATAAACAGCCTGGATCAGTAAAGAGTGTATTTAAATTGGGGGTGCACCTGGGGCACAGGAAGAAAAGAACCAATCCCTCTTTCATTTGTGAACATAGCCTACTGGGGACCCTCCTTTCACACATCCTACTGTTGCCTTGCTCTTTGACACCTGCTCTCCAAGGGCACCTTGTGAAGCCAATTCTGTTTTCCCTTCGTCAGAGCACCACACACAGTGCCCCTGTGGGTCTTGAAGTTTCCAGTGCCTTCCATTCTTCCGAAAAAGAAACACACTGCTGTCGTCGTAGCAACACTATAGGACAGAGTAGAA